AGAGATCAAATGTAGTAGAAATAAACACGTTAAGAATCCATAGAAGCGGAGGACTATTATTATGTTTTTTTAGGACCATTAAATGTTTGGTTGACCAATCAGTGGAGAGGGGGATTAATTACCCATTTTATTGCAACTACATTTCATATTTTTCTCAACAAACTGACTAATGAATAGCTCGACACAACTATATTGAAAGTAGAAAAATGAGAAAACTGCTCCTTTTTTGTTTTTTTTTGTTTTTTTTTCAAAAATTGAAAAAAGAGAATTCAGCTTAAATTTTCTTTTTTTGCTCGGGTAGAAAAATTAATAAACAGCATGAATATTTGATTTCTAAACCGTGGCAGAGTCTAGACAGGGCTTTCTTCTGTGTAGACCAGCGGTTCTTAAAGTGATAGGGGGTCTGCGAAATAATTTGCTATAGCCTAAAGTATATCCAGACTGTAAAGTCGCTTTTTTTATCATGCTACATAGGCCTACTGTGATTTATTCCAAAGTGACTTATATGATGCATTTAACGTCAAATAATCTAAATGAAGCCTTTTAAAAGACAAGTATTCCCTGTGGTTCATGTAGTCGCGTCTGTCTGCTTATTGAGTTTATTTAACCCATCGCAATTTATTGGAACTGTGTGAACTAGAGTGACTACTCACCTTAATGTTGTTCTAAAGGCTTATTACTTAATAACACAAAAATGTCCTGCTCGCACTTGCCAATTAAATGGCAGAGAATGGTGACTTTAGGTTTTGTTTTTTTTAGTTTTTAAGCGGATGCATATCTGTCGTAAAATAATCATATGCATCTTGTGGCGTATATTCCAAGCATTCTGAAGGTATACTGAGGGTTTGGTGAGAAACAATCCGAAATGGCAAGTTATTATATTTTATGAAAATCTTGCGTTGCAGTGCACAAGTGCATATCCTTTTGAGATATCAATTATAATAAATTTTAATAAAACACAAGACTACATTATATAACTCTAACAGTAGGCTATTTAATATCTGTTGTTCTCCAGTTGTCAGTCAGAATGACAGTTCTTGCGTGAACATAGGCCTATACTGTATATACCCAAGCCAATTTATTATTCCTTCCTTTTTGTCTTAGTGTTTAAAATATTTATTTTGAAACAAATTAATTAATTAATTTCTTAATTAAACAAACAAACAGACTTACTGGGTGAGCAGGGTAGGCTATGACAGCTGTCATATCATACCCTGCCATGCCCAGCTGATGCAAAGAATAGAATTTATATCTACACAGAAGAAAGCCCTGTCTAGACTCTGCCCAGGTATGAGTTGTGTCGATACTGCAGAAGAACTGATGATGGCACGGTTTGATCTTTGGCTGACCAATCAGCAGAAAGGGGTGTTTAATTCCCGCCCACATGTAGAAATCGAATATTCAAGCTGTTTATTCATTTTTCTACCCCTGAACGAAAAAAGAAAATTTAAGCTGAATTCTCGTTTTTCGTTTTTTTCCAAAAAACGAAAAAGGAGCCGTTTTCTCATTTTTCCACTTTCAATATTAAATCAAAAAACGAATGATCGAATGATACACGGATTTTCCTCCCCTTCATCAAGATACATTTACATGAGATGCAAATGAAGATATCTGAAGACTTTACTTTCCTTTTTTTTCTTTTTTTTTTATGCTTAAAACAGGAACATATATCGGTCAATGATAAGTTGATTTTTCTGAGCCCATTTGCACATATTTGTTCGTTTTAATCCATATTAATAATTATTTCCATCTTGTAGTTAATCTGTTTTTGTACACATTATTGATGTATTCTGTTTCCTTCAATGTATTCCTTAAATTTCTTTTCTTTGTATATTTTGTCACATTTGTCACTTTATTCAGTGTTCATTTTGGACCCTATCTGGCAGTAATCTACTTGCAAAAAAAAAAAAAAACATCTCACACAGACAGATTCACAGTAGATCCTCTATAAACCCTAAAAACAGTGACATTTTTCTCAGCGAAGGCATGAAGTCAGAGAAACTTCCTCATTGCTTTACAAACGGCATGTTGCCAGTGCATGTGGTGTAGTTTGTTGAATCAGTCATTTTGCATAATCATACCACTATGAATGTTAATATTTCCCTCTGAGAGAAACACCAGTTTCAGCAACTTTACTGTGTCATGTGAGAGTCTGGTATTGTGGCACTGAGAGTGATATAAAATGGGCCTGGTGTAGCATGTAAGGAGCAGCGTGTATATGGTTTTAGTTGTTCTTTTCACCCCTCTGAAACCTGAGACACCATCTGTAGTGCAGTTATGGTTCGAGGAACTTCACAGTCTGCACAGTGTATATAGAAATATGAAGTGAAACTTGGCTGGTCTTCAGATAGGTGTTTATAGCAGCGAACGTCACTTCCTCTCACATATACTTAAATGGTTAGTTCACCCAAAAATGAAAATTAGTCCATAAATTACTCACCCTCCGAACCGTGAGTAAGTTGAACCGTTCCACCCCTAATGGGTGCTTTTTATTTCACTTCTTTTGGACTGATGCATGCAACACCAGCTGAGTGGCATTAAACAGCTTGAAAGATCAAAGACAATTTTTAATATAACTCTGACTGGATTCGTCTGAAAGAAGAAAGTCATATACACCTAGGATGACTTGAGGGTGAGTAATTTATGGGCTAATTTTCATTTTTGGGTGAACTAACCCTTTAAGTTTGAATGTGAGATTGGTCTGTATGTTAGCATTATATGTACAGTGTGTTCAGCTCTCAAACTGTATTCAGATTTGGCTACTGATTAATATAGGCATGACCACAGATTCATAGCTGATTGTGCTCAATCTCATTTGTTTTTGATAACTGACTAATAGCTGCTAATATCCAATTTTGAATTAGCCAAAAACAGCTTTTTAAATATGCACTAGCAATCAAAAGTGCTAAACTGCTAAAACTAGTTTTGTAGACATATGTATTTTGGATTTGCTAAGCAGTTTTTATCACTACTATATATATCAATTTGTGTTATTTCATAGTTGTGATAAATTCATTTATTAATCTATCTATCTATCTATCTATCTATCTATCTCTATATATCTCTCTCTCTTTCTCTCTCTCTCTCTCTCTCTATATATATATATATATATATATATATATATAGCTGGTAAGAAACTTTATATATGAATAAATACATGTATTTTATCTGTTTATTTATTTATTTATTGAATATTTAGAGACATTTATTTTAATTTATGTTTTGTTTTAATATTATGCAGATTTTGGATTTATATATATATATCCATTTGTGTTATTTAATAGTTTTGATAAATTAATTTATTAATATATAATGCGTTACATATTTCCTTTTTTTAATTGATCAAATATATAGGAACTCTACAGCAATTCACTGGCTTTATTGGTTACATTGTCACTAAATTTGATCGTTTTTTATTGGTGGGCGATTTTAACATTCATGTTTGCTGTCAGTCAAATCCTTTGTCGAGGGAATTTCTTAATATA